GGACAATAGTATTACAGCCAGCAGTACGGCAGCTAAAGTTAACCGGGACCACTGAATTGCTTCCCCTACAGACAATTCAACAGTGCCACACAGAGCTGGAAGGGCGGTCAATCTCCTTTGAGGTGTCCTCTGTCACAAAGCCCATGGTAAAGTTTGCTATATGCAACGCATTCACTGCAACCGGTTTGTGCCTAGCAGAGCACAACTACCCAGTTACTGCTCTCCAGAATGCCCATCGACACTTGAAGGATCTGCCACTGCCTCCCGTGGACAGGGTAAAGCCACTGCTACTTATTGGATCTGACAATCCTCACCTTCTGACACCCATCCAGCCTGTCTGCGAAGGCCCAGTAGGGGGGCCCATTGCGGTCTGCACGCAACTCGGATGGTGTCTCCAAGGCCCGATGAGTCCTATGCAGTCCTCACGAGGAAAGCAGCAATGTCTTAACATCATGACAGCTCCAGCCCGTGATGAACTTATCCATCATGTAGAAAGACTCTGGCAAGTTGACACCCTTCCATACAATGAGAAAATAATCACCAGGTCTAAGCAAGATAAGGAAGCTTATGCCATGCTTCAGGATTCTACCATCAGAGTAAATGTGGATGGTGTTCAACGCTACGCTACACCCCTGCTGAGACGGACACCTGTGAGTTTGCTCCATGCAGAAAAGGATGCAGTTCTACCCAGTTTACGCAGCACAGAGCGCCGGCTGTCACGGGATCCGGAGAGGGCTAAAGCATACTGCACTGAGATCCAGAAGTTGGAGGCAGCTGGATATGTTGCCAAGATAACTGCGGAGGAAGCCAACAAGAGTAACGAGTCTTGGTATATTCCGCATCATGTTGTACATCACAACAACAAAGACCGGATTGTCTTTAACTGTTCCTTTCAACATCAAGGACAGTCATTGAACAGTCAGCTACTGCCTGGACCAACTTTGGGGCCATCGTTATTGGGAGTCCTCCTGAGATTCCGGCAGCACGCTGTTGCTGTAAGCGGGGACATAAAAGGCATGTTCCACCAGGTACGTCTGCTGCCCAAAGACAAACAGGTGCTTTGTTTCCTATGGAGGGACATGTGCAGGGATAGAGAGCCCGATATATACGAATGGCAGGTGCTTCCCTTCGGAACTACCTGTAGTCCATGTTGCGCCATCTTTGCCCTCCAACACCATGCACAAGGACACAAAGGTGACATGCCTAAGTTGGTTAACATAGTGGAGAACTCCTTTTATGTTGATAACTGTCTTTACAGCACACCAACAGCCAATGAAGCTAAGGACGTTGTGGATGGGCTGCGTCAGTTGCTGGCTGAGGGAGGCTTTGATTTAAGACAATGGGCCTGTAATGTACCATCTGTGATCCAGCATCTTCCCGTGGAGGCCTTGTCTACCAACAGTGAACGATGGTTAACCAAAGCTAGTACAGACCTGCAAGAACCCACTCTTGGCCTACGGTGGAATTGTCTCAATGACTCTCTGGGTTACAATTTACGTTCTGCAGAGCCATTGGAGCCTACTATGAGGAACATGTACAAGACATTGGCCAGTCAGTATGATCCTTTAGGATTTATTATCCCGTTCACTACAAGGGCTAAAGTCCTCATACAGGACCTTTGGAAGCAAAACTTGGGCTGGGATGATCTGATTGAGCCTGCACAGCTGAGGAATAAGTGGTTAACCTGGGTAGGAGAAATTCCAACACTCCTTCAGTTGCAGTTCCCTCGACTATACACACCAGTCTGGCCTGATAATCCTCCTGTCACTCGAGAGCTACACATCCTTTGTGACGCATCTGAAAGAGCATATGGGTCAGTGGCTTATTTACGTACTTCTGATGATAAAGGACATGTAGCCGTCACCTTTGTCTTGGCTCGATCGAGAGTGGCCCCCAGAAAATGCCTATCCATGCCTCGTTTGGAGCTAAGTGCAGCACTGACCGGCGCCCAGTTAGCCCAGGTAATACAAAATGAGTTAACTCTTCCTATCGATTCAGTCACTCTCTGGTCTGACTCAACAACTGTGCTGTACTGGTTGACCGCAGAGTCTTGCCGCTACAAGGTGTTTGTTGGAGGACGTGTAGCTGAAATACAGACTCTCACTGAGACAGCTGAATGGAGGTATGTTGATTCGGCCAACAACCCGGCTGACCATATCACAAGGGGTCTAACTTTAGCGGAGCTAACAGGCCCTCACCAATGGAATTCAGGACCATCCTTTCTCCTTAAATCCGTTGACCAATGGCCATCCATTCCCAAGCTAGCGGTAGAACCAGAACTCAGTGAATTAAAGAAAGCTGCCTTCGTTGGTACTATTTCAGTGAATAACCTTTCACTCCCAGACCCAACTCAGTTCTCTACATGGCAAGAACTTGTCCAGGCCACTGTTAGGTCCCTGCACGGGGCGGCTACTGCTGATAATAACTTCTCTAGTAACGCAGCTGACTATATTAAAGCTGAGAAACTCCTCCTGGCACAGGCTCAAAGTGACTCGTTCCCATACGAGGTCAAGGCTCTGAAGACTGCCCAATCTCTACCTTCTGACAGTCGTTTGATCTCTCTTGCCCCTGAGTTTGATGAAGCCACAGGTCTAATCCGAGTAGGTGGAAGATTACGTCGGACTGACAGCCTAGACTTGGATTCTATCCACCCAATTGTGTTGGATTCTGGCCACCCTGTCACCAAGCTGTTAATTAAGGAGACAGATCAGCGACTCCTTCACCCAGGCTCCGAACGGGTCCTAGCTGAACTGCGCCGCCAGTATTGGGTATTGAGAGGCAGAGAAGCAATTCGGAAACATCAGCACACATGTAGAGACTGTCAGTTCTGGCGTGCTAAACCTCAGACACCCCAAATGGCTGATCTTCCATCCAGCAGACTGCAACTTTACAAACCCCCGTTCTACTCTACAGGGGTAGATTGCTTTGGCCCCTTCACGGTTAAAGTTGGTCGTCGCCAAGAGAAGAGGTGGGGAGTCCTCTATAAATGTATGACAACCAGGTGCGTGCATCTAGATCTACTGGAACAACTAGACACTGATGCATTTCTGCTTTCTCTGCGTCGCTTCATCGCAAGACGAGGCAAGCCCATGGAATTGCTATGTGACAATGGCACTAACTTCGTTGGAGGGGATCGAGAATTACGAGAGACCTTCAATGCCATGGCACCAAAGCTTCAGGAGCAGCTTGCGGAGCAAAGGATTCGATTTCGCTTTAACCCACCAAGTGCTCCTCATTTCGGGGGAACCTGGGAGCGTGAGGTCAAATCGGTGAAGTCCGCTTTACGTGTCATCCTGCGAGAGCAGTCAGTGCCAGAGGCAGTATTGCAAACCCTGTTAGTGGAGGTGGAAGGCATTCTGAATTCCAAGCCACTTGGCTACATATCCTCTGACGTTGCAGACTTGGACCCAGTGACTCCCAACCTGCTCCTTATGGGCCGACGTGATGCCTCACTTCCTCAGGTTCTGTATGACTCCAACAACTTGCTCGGCAGACGCAGATGGAGACATAGCCAGGTGTTGGCTGATAATTTCTGGACTGCCTTCATCCGCCATCATCTCCCAAGTTTACAGGATCGCCAGAAGTGGAGGAAGGATGGCAAGGAACTTACCGTGGGCCAAGTAGTTCTTATTGTTGATCCACAACTCCCACGTGCTTTATGGCCTGTAGGAACAGTGTCTGAAACGTTACCTGGAGCTGACGGTAAAATTCGTACCGTTAGAGTTAAAGTTAAGGAAAAAACTTACACTCGTCCAGTTGTGCGATTAATTCCCCTTCCGCACCTAGAGGATAATGTTCCTGACACGGCAGACAAACTTTCTTAAAATGTACAATTATCCTGACAGATAATTGGGGGCGGCTGTGTCAGAAAGCCTGTCCTAGGAACTTAAATTAGTAATTGTTTCCCGCACGGACATTTTTACATGACGCACACCAGTACGGACTGAATGCCATTCACTGTTTATGCCGCAGGTTATGCTCTGCAAATGCGTTTATGTTATACAAGTGAGTACATATATATGTTTGATTCTAATTATTATATGTCATGCATGTTATTGGTCACTTTCAGTGTTTTTGACGATCGTTTTTCCCGTTAATTTCGGCCGTAATTTGCCGATCTAATTTGCTGAGTCATCGCCCTCCACACTAATGCTACGTGCGCATGCGGCCAATGTTTGTTTACATAACGATTTATATTGCCCTGTTATTTAGTTTACTGTTGTATTTCAGTTCATTTCATTGCTATAACAGGCGGAAATACAGACTTTATCATGTATATCTTGTATTGTGTTAGTTAATATTTCTCATTGTGTTAGTACAGTAAGACACAAATGTTAGATGAATATTTTTGGTAAATTATTTCTCTTTATTTCCTTTTGTGGACCACACATACCCACCCATTCTTTGCAATATCTCCAGTGCATACCTCAGCTGCATATTCAGGACAGAAATAAATGCTCATCAGAAAGAATCTCTTCTCCACTCTTGATTTTCTAACCGAAATCAGATCCATATTTGGCCGCCTCAGCCAGCTAAAATCTTGAATGTAGTGGGACTTCACTACAGGACTCCCAGGAAAAACGGAAGTGTTGGCAAGTATGAGTGGGTGGGGGAATCGAATAGTTGGTCAGTCGACAGTGGCCTCTGGTGGATTTACACGAGAACAGCAGGTGCGAATGGCACTCGCAGGAGAATTTTGAGAATTTAAAAATGCATACACAGCGACCTCTGGTGGATTTACGTGAGGAAAAAAGGTGCGACCTCTGGTGGATTTTCAAAAACAAAAATTGCAACAAAAAAAAAAACATACCTCCTATTTGACGCGCTCCAGAAATGTATGGGCTAGGTTTTCAGAATGGGCCTGGGTTGAAAAAAATTAAAGCAAAAAAAAACAAAAAAAACAAAAAAAACAAATAACATTCCCCATCAAATTGACCAGTGCAATTATGACACATAAAAAGACATTTAAAGACATTAAACCTAAAATCTTCTGCTTCCCCCCCCCTATGTAACAATTAACTGGACCCTCACTGATCAGTAACTGATCACTAGACAATCATCAATTCTGTTTTGACCCTGGATTACAGATAGAAGCCAGTTTCTTAAATGCAGGTCCAAGGTCAGAAAGCAGATCAGGATTAAACTCATTACTGGGCAGGTCTATGGGGTCCAGATCTGCAAGCTTGTCTGTGTTGTCCTCAAAGGCGTAAAGATGAGGCTCATAATCCAGCAACTCATTTTCTTGAGATTGCATTAAATGTAACCTCTGAAAATCAAAGAAGTTATTTAATTAACTCTGAATTTATCTGTTGGTAAATGGAGGATGAATTGGTAACACTTTACAATAACAGAACATGAATAACCATGTATTAATATGTAAACTAAACATTACTTTATTTTTTTGGACTAATGATGAGTTATTGTGTGCGCTAATCATGAACTAACTTCAACTACAACATGAGCCACATGAGTTCAAGTTTGAATAACAGCTATCTTAATAACTTGTTAGTACATGCAATTAATGTATTAATTACCACATTATTTTATGCCCAGTTTAACCATCATGACAATAATGTATAATTATATTGTCTTCTATTCTTATTGTTATTATATTATATTGTCAAGTATAATTATATGACTTTACTTGAAGGGACACATCATCGTTAACCCATTCTTAACTACTCAAAACTTCTTATGCACGTCAGTCTAGTGCGTTTACACTGAACAACAATAGAAAAGTGTTCTGTCAACATCAACATGATCAGTTTAAACACTGAAGTTCCATCAGTTAAGGATGAGTTAATGGCGATGTGCCCCTTCAAGTAAAGTCATGTCATAACAGTAAATCGCTTTTCAAAACACTGTAGGTTGGGTTTAGGGAAGTCGGTGGGCACTGGTCAATCGGTGCTTTTTAAAACACTATCGGTTGGGTTTTGAAAAGGGGGTGGGTTTACCTGCCAACATTTGTCTCCAAAATTCCGTAAGACCGGTGTGTTGGGGGTGTGGCAGTATGCGTTTGTCTGAATAACACAGTTGAGAACCGGTTAGTAACTACTGTGGTGTTAGTAACTCTACTATGGACTGCAGCGATCGGATAAGTACTATACCAAAGCTGGTGATCCGGGGATGTTACAGATTGTACCAAAAAGTTGAGGACAAGAGTGGGGTGAAATTACAAGACTTTTCTGGGAGAAACAGAAGTGTTGGCAGGTATAAGTGGGTGGGGGGATCAGACGGTTGGTCAGTCATTCAGTCAACAGCGGCCTCTGGTGGATTTACGCAAGAACAGCAGGCACGAGTTGCACTCGCGAGAGAAATTTGTACCCCTCCAAGTAATGTCATGCTACAATAACAGCTCATTAGTTCATGTTGGTTCCATTCAACTAAAACGTAAATGTTAATCAATAAATTAATTAACAACATGTACTAGCAAGTAATTAAGGTAGGCGTTATTAACGCATGAACTCTTGTGACTCATGTTATAAAGTTAGTTCATGATTAGCGCACGCATTACCTCATCATTACCTCATCATAATGTTTAGTTTACATATTAATGCATCATTGTTCATATATAGGTAATGTAAAGTGCTACAGATGAATTTACTGCTTGAAGTATACCTGAGTTAGCAAGCTTTGTAAAGTGGATTGGTTGATGAAATAGGTTTTCGCTCTTCTTTGTGAGCCCCTCCTGCTAAATGTGGAGCCCTAAGGAGAGTAAAGAAAATCCTATATATTACTGATTTTAGGATTTTGCAAGAGCACAGTTTTACTGAAGAGTAACAAGTTTAGACGTGTTAACATGATTAAGATTTACCTGGTAGTAGTTGTCGATTTGGTACTGTTTCCGCATCCATGACTGATTCTTAAGAGCAGAAGAGTAAATGTTAAACTTACACTTAGACATAGGAGAAAAATGCTCATTATAGAAGAAGATTTCAGATGCTATATACTTAGCAGATTTGAACTCTTCATATTTAGATGAGTAATCACTCTATTACCTCACGGGAAAAGTACTGTGATCTGTCTCTAGACCAAGACTCCCTTCCAGCAGAAGTCACATTTTTGCTAGATACCTGTGATCAACAAATAAAAATCTAATTCTTATTATTTTAGTATCAGTTTTGTAATGTTTCCACAAGACCTCAGTACAGGAATGTTTTCTATACCTGCTGAACATCAGCTTTCTTTTGAGCCCAGTCATTGACAATAGTTGTTTCCTTGACTGACTGACAGACAGATGCTTTCCTCAGAAGAGTTGTCGGGACCTTTGATAATTAAAAAATGAGAGAACAATTGTTATTTGTCTTGTTTTAGTTTTAAAAAATTTAAAGATATACAGTAACTGACAAAAGTCTTGTCGCCTATCCAAGTTTTAGGAACAACAAATAATAACTTGATTTCTAGTTGCTCTTTTTGTATCAGAAGGGGCTTATATGAAAGGCAAAGGCCTCAAGATTATGCTTATTATCTTAAAATAAAATATGATCATGCCTTGATTTTTAATAATTTAATTAGGACAGTGAGGTCTGACTTCTCTCAGACAAAAGTCTTGTCACTTAACAGAAATAATGTACAGAATAGAATATAAAGTTATGGTGCATTGGAGAAAGAGTTAATATTGTGTATGACTCCCATGAGCTTGGAGGACTGCATCCATACATCTCTGCAATGTCTTAAATCACTTATTTATAAGGTCATCTGGAATGGCAAAGAAAGCGTTTTTGCAGGACTCCCAGAGTTCATCAAGATTCTTTAGATTCATCTTCAATGCCTCCTTTTCCATCTTACCCTCAACATGCTCAATAATGTTTATGTCTGGTGACTGGGCTGGCCAATCCTGGAGCACCTTGACCTTCTTTGCATTCAGGAACTTTGATGTGGAGGCTGAAGTATAAGAAGGAGCGCTATCCTGCTAAAGTTTGCCCTCTCCTGTGGTTTGTAATGTAATAGGCAGCACAAATGTCTTGATACCTAGGCTGTTGATGTTGCCATCCACTCTGCAGATCTCTCGCAAGCCCCCATACTGAATGTAACCCCAAACCATAATTTTTCCTTTACCAAACTTGACTGATTTCTCTGAGAATCTTGGGTCTAGGTGGGTTCCAGTAGGTCTTCTGCAGTATTGGAACCCACATAGACCCAAGATTCTCTGCCACTTTCCAAATGATCAACTAGAAGTCAAGTTATTATTTGTTGCTCTTACAACTGGGATCGACGACAAGATTTTGTCAAGCAGTGTATATATTAACAAATAGATTATAAATACAGCCATGTGAAAAAAGTTAGGCCATCTTTCTAAATTCCATGTTTTTTTCTGTCAGGGCATATTAAAAGGACTTGAAGAGATGATACCGATGAGAACTTCCAGGACAGCACAATATTAGTTATATAATATTAGTTATTAGTTATATTAGTTAATATAACTAATACACCTAATTGAAAATGTATTCTCCCTGTATTTGCGTGGGTTTTCTCTGAGTGCTCTGGTTTCCCCCACAGTCCAAAGACATGTGTTATAGGTGAACTGAATAAACTAAATTGGCCGTAGTGTGTGTAAATGAGTGTGTTTGGATGTTTCCCAGTACTGGGTTGGAAGGGTATCTGCTGTGTAAAACATATGCTGGATAAGTTGGCGGGCAATTTCACTGTGGTGACCCCTTAAGGGACTGAGCTGAAGGAAAATGAATGAATATTATACACATAGATATGACCTCTTTGAAACTGACACAATATATTGCATAACTGCAGGATAACTATGTATATATACTATCCCGCCCAATACACAACTGCTTCTACATCTTGCTTATATACACTATGAACAGCAGCTACGCTAATTATTCTCTTTATTCTCTATTTTTCACCTGGGGATACTCATCCCGAGGTCCTCAGATTATGCGGAGTCACTGATTGGATCCAAGACCAGCGACGTGATGATCCCAAGGATTCTATATCCGGGACCAGGCCATATCCTGAGCTGCTGCTGCGCTGATGGTCGTGGGGAGTGGAGAACATGAGTCTGATTCCAGCGACGCTCCAGGGACAGACGAGTCTTCGCTGAGGCCATCTTCCAGCCTAAACCACAACGAATGAAGTTCTGCACAAGACTTTTGGCCAGCGGAGAAATTAAAATGGTCGTGCCCAACTGAGTCTGGTTCTCTCAAGGTTTTTTTTCTTCACTCCCATCAGGTGAAGTTTTTTTTCCCTCTCCGCTGTCGCCACTGCCTCGCATGGTTCAGGATTGGTAGAGCTACGCATCGATGAATTGGCTCTTCAGTGTTTGAACTCTCAGTAATGATTAAATCACACTGAACTGAGCTAAACTGAACTGAACTGAACTTAAAGACTAAAACCTGAACCACACTGTTCCAGTTACTGAACCACACTGTTCCAGTTACTGAACCACACTGTTCCAGTTACTATGACCATTTATGTGAAGCTGCTTTGACACAATCTACATTGTAAAAGCGCTATACAAATAAAGCTGAATTGAATTGAATTGAACTGCTTAACTTTCTGATTTTGAGTATTATAATGTGATAATGTCCACCTTTTGTAAAACTGCTTTGGAACAATTATTTCTGTGAAAGGTGCTATACAAATAAAAAAAACAACATATTGGCAGGTCATAAAACTTGGAAAACAAACCCTTAGATGAACAGGATCACATGAAATTAATTTTTATTTTTGGGTGAACTGTCCCTTTAACAGTAAGAGTGTCCTACATTTGTCATTCATTGCTTTTCCATTTTGAGCTTTTTTGTTGTATAATTACAGTTTTTCTCAGTCACTTTGGTGCATTTCTCACAACACTATTTACATTTGCACAACAGGTAATGCATTTCTCAAAACAATTAGTCATTTGTGCACATCCTAGTAGCAGTTTCTCATTCTTTCCAACAAATTGCAAATGCTTTTGGACATGCATCAATTGCTTTGATACAACTCTCTGCTGTTTATATCATTATCATTTGCTTATGTCATGTCAGTCAAAATTAACTAAACTTGTAAATGCTGAATAGTCATTCTATATAAAACTAACAGTCCTCATTTCATTAATTGAGTCTTTACATACAAAAATTTTGAACTAGTTGTCAAAATCTGTCAAGCCAATTTTATAAAACAAATTTAAATCTTTATTTTCCTGAAAATGTCTTCTAAAATGAACAATTTGATGATTTACAGACCTGTGTGTGTTGTAGACTCAGTTCCAGTATGTACTGCAATATTGTTTACAGTTGTGCTCAGCTCTATCCAAAGGGAGTTTCTGTTTGTTGTAAATAAGGGTGTGTTTATTGTTTTGCACAATGCTGTGAATACGTAAATTAGGACTGTAAAGAGCAAATGCAGTAAAAATGTGCAACATACATATTCAGTGTCTTGTACTCAGACACCTCACTAAATGCAGTGATGTCTAACTTTACTGTAGTTTTCAAATGGCTGTGCAAATAGTATATAGTGCTGTCTTGAGCATTTTCAGGAAGTGTCACCAAAATCTGACTTTTTGCATTGAAAAAAATGTCCAGAGTAAACTCATAATGAAAACATGACAAAGCCATTTGACTATCTTGTTCATAAACAATGGTGTCAGGACTTTTCATTTTGATGACACTGACACTTTGATTGATATGAATACTTGCTTTTGAGGAATGAACTATCAATTTTGAGCATGTGACGCGCTTTTGCAGGTTATCAGCTAGGTTTTGCAGTTTGTACTAATTGTTTTGAGAAATGCATTAACTGTTGTGCAAAAATGCATTAGTGTTGTGAGAAACGCACCAAAGCGACTGAGAAAAACTATAATGGCATGGTGCAATATGTCATGTTGTTGATCATAAAAGGTTTTCTTTTACAAATTGTAAGATCATGAAAGGTCATTAAATTAAATAGGTTGTCCTAACTTTTTCACATGACAAATAAATAGATAGGTAGGTAGGTAAATAGATGGATGGACAGACAGACAGACAGACAGGCAGACAGACAGACAGATAGATAGATAGATAGACAGACAGACAGACAGACAGACAGACAGACAGATAGATAGAGATAGATAGATAGTTAGATAGTTAGATGGATGGATGGATGGACGGAAGGACAGACGGACGGATAGATCGATGGATAGGTAGAATATAGATATATATAGATAGACAGACAGACAGACAGACAGACAGATAGATACTGTAGATAGAGTTAAACACCACAGACAGACAGACAGACAGACAGACAGACAGACAGACAGACAGACAGACAGACAGACAGACAGACAGACAGATAGATAGATAGATAGATAGATAGATAGATAGATAGATAGATAGATAGATAGATAGATAGATAGATAGATATTACCATACAATCTGTGCCTGGTTTCTCAATATTTGATGACAGAAGGGCATCTTCTAAGACATTGTCTACTTGTACCAGAGACTTCACACTTCCGCAAGAGCAAGTGAGGGACAGCAGCAGAAAAGCTATCAGGAAAAAAACCTTCAGATTCAAGGTGCTTTTTACTTTTTAACATCATACAATCATGCATGCACACACTAGTATATACCATATTTTGTTTGTTTTAAGAAGTCAACATGTCCTGTCCAATAGCGGGACAATATATTTGAATCATGCTAATATTCCATGGTCTGTTGAAATGCCTGTTCTTGATTTTAATTAGCTGGAGCAGGGGTGAACAACCCTGTTCCTGGAGATCTACCTTCCTGCAGATTTCAGTTGCAATCCATATCAAACACACCTGCCTGTACTTATCAAGTTTTGCTAAAGTCTTAATTAATTGGTTAAGGTGTGCTTGATCATTGTTGGAGCAGAACTCTACAGGAAGGTAGAGCTCCAGGAACAGGCTTAAGCACCCCCAGGCTGAAGAGTGTGCATTATTTTCATTAAAACATAGTTCAAGTCAGTTTTGATTACAGTCAAAATGTTGTCAAATATTGGCCAAAATCAGCAAAACAAAGTTTAGCGTGCATATAACTTGACGTCGACCATAGAATAAGTGGGATAATCAACGGCTTGTTGTGTGTTAAAGGAGTTTAAATGCACTTTGTGGAGGCAACTGCCCTTCGATTTGCATCGGGCTGTTCTTCACTTCCACGTTGTGCATTTAAAATACTTTCAAGAGTTCACACTTAGATAGGCATGCTGTCCCTGGGAGAGAACCCTGAGCTCAGAGATAGTTGAGCCCAGGGCTCCCGCTTGGTCAATGAGCATGTAAAGTGGATAAGAGATTAGGTAGTTCTCGACAGATCCCTCTGGTAAACGAGGAAAAGGGGGAGATGGGGTGGACAGGGGGGATTCTTTAAAAATGAAGATAAGGGAGTAGTGCTAGACAGGCTATTCATTATGAGTTTGGAATAATTTGATTGGATTATTATTGATTATGGATGAGAGACTAGCCACGATCAATCATATCACATGCTTCTCTCGAAATTAGTTTGTGAAACTTCACTTAACACACAACAAGCCATTCATTATGCTTTATTTATAGGTAATTAAAGGGAAGAATAATCAACTGCTCACCCAAAACCATGAGAGTGGCAAAAATGGTAATTCCTAACAGACCATTTCCCACTTTTTGCTGTGTGTTGCGCTGGAGCAGGCAGTTTGGTGAGACGGCACAATCACATGCAGCGACAGTAAGGTTCTGGTGCACGAACCTGCCCTGCTTATCAGAGATTTTCACACTCAGTGTGTACAGGCTCGCATGAACTCTTTTATCCTTCACCAAACGCACGGTGTAACCTAAAAGACAAAGTCAGAAAAGATTGAAGAAAGGTGATGGACTATGCAGCCCAGGCTCATTCTGAAAATGTACTGCTATGTACATTTCTGGAGAGCGCCAAATACGTCCCAGGAGCTACGTTTTTTGTTTTTTTTGCAGTTTTTGTTTTTACAAATCCACCAGAGGGCGCTGTGTATGGTTTTTCAGATCTCAAATTTCTCTTGCGAGTGCTATTCGCGCCTGCTGTTTTCGCAGAAAATCCACCAGAGGATGCTTTCAACTGACTGACTGACTGACCGATCAACTGACCCACGCTCCTCCTTCCCTAAACCCAACCAAAAGTGTTTTCAAAAGCACTGATTGACCCGGTCACCCACCTCCCTTAACCCAACCGACAGTTTTGAAAAGCATTTTTTGGCTTTTATTTTTCTCTCACCTGCCTTCTGGAACCATTTTCCGAAAAGGAACGGCATCATACCGACCCATAGCAATCATTTTAAAGACGAAATGCAGCCATACCTACCTCTTGCTACATAATTTGCGATCTCCAGAAATTTATATAGGGCTACAATTTCAGAATGAGCCTACTGTATGTTAAACTATGGGCTTTCAATCAAAAAACCAGCCAAATGTTGAGAACACTTAGGCTGCGTCCAAAATCACTTACAACTCAGTAAGTACTACATTTTAATTTGAATTTACTATATGACCATAAGAAAAAAAGTATGAAAGTGAGTAGTATGAATAGAGCTCGGACATACTGCATCTGCCATTAGTCATTATCACGTGACCTACCCGTGTCAGTTGTGTCGCTTCAGTTCAATTCATGGATTCTCTCGCAGTGCATCATAAGACAGTGTAGCGTCCATTGGATGCGCACTATAAAACCTGGCCGCCAGTAGTAGGTCATTCAGGTACTTCTTGCATACTGTTTTTTCAAATTCTATGAATTCTGTCATACTACTCAGCTCACATATTGTTTTTAGCGTACTATATAGTATAGAAGTACATGATTTCAGATGCAGCCTGTGATTATAATCATTCGAGATTATGGCAGAGGTAATTAGACTCTAAGGTTGACTAGAGCTCTATTCACACTGTGCGATTTCAGCCATGATTTGGTCATCTGAGATAAATTTGAGAAATCCTACAAGAATTATTAGCCATTACCATCAAATTTTCCCTCCGATAAAGTTCTCCAGTGAAGATTTCAGGCCCTTCCCTGCAGTGTGACTTTAGCTCAGACCACAAACCAGAAGGAGCACTGAATCTGATGACGCTCTCAGCACAACAATTTCAAACCATGGTCAGACTACAAAACTTTTTTCTGGTTTTATTATGGACCTTTTTTACAAGACTGTTATGACACGTTATACGCTCATCAGCATCTTGATGAAGACAATAGAATACACAAGATGTGTCACTCGTATAGTTCGGTCCCGCCTATTAGTACAGGAGCCAATCATCGAATGCTATATGGGGAGAAGTTCAGACCAGGCGTGTGCTTTTGTGACAGTTTGGTGGTCAACAAACACACTGGAATCTCAGCGAACACTTGCTTCAAAGACAAAAATATAAACACATAAAGCTTGAAATCTGTACTCTTACATGAACCACTTACACCTGGAAACAACACTTATTTTTGGCTTTGTAATCTGTATGAAATGAAAGTAAGGTGACAGCATGACAGCAACTACTCAAACGCCAACAGACTTGTAAACAAAGAGTCACTGTCATTCCTGGAGGAGATTCACCATCAAGACCAAGTTGTGAATTACATCAGAAGACCAGCGCGACCTGAAGAAGCATTATCCAGAGGATGATAATGTGTAGAACAGCCATAAATTAGGTTGGTGTCGTGATCTCGTTCCTTTCACATTAACTCGAGCAACCTGAAAATATGATTTTGTTTGATTTGAACATTGTGAGGCGAGGCAGTGGCGCAGTAGGTAGTGCTGTCGCCTCACAGCAAGAAGGCCGCTGGTTCGAACCTCGGCTCAGTTGGCGTTTCTGTGTGGAGTTTGCATGTTCTCACTGCCTTCGCGTGGGTTTCCTCCGGGTGCTCCGGTTTCCCCCACAGTCCAAAGACATGCGGTACAGGTGAATTGGGTAGGCTAAATTGTCCGTAGTGTATGAGTGTGTGTGTGGATGTTTCCCAGAGATGGGTTGCGGCTGGAAGGGCATCCGCTGCGTAAAAACTTGCTGGATAGGTTAGCGGTTCATTCCGCTGTGGCGACCCCGGATTAATAAAGGGACTAAGCCGACAAGAAAATGAATGAATGAATGAACATTGTGAAAAAAACTTACGGTTCCCTACGTTGTTCTTTAATTTTATTGGTGATTCTAAATACATAATGTTTTGGTAAGCTTGGGAAACAGTTCTGAAAAATTTGATGTTTCCTCATTCAGACAGAATGCCAGAGCATACCGCCCGAGAGGCGTTTTAAAGATGGCCGCCAAGCACTCCTTAAATTGTAAATTGCGAGGAGGGAGAGGTGTCGCAGACTAACGGGAATAGCAGGTGGGGGATTGATTGGTGGTTTGTCGTAGGCTAAAGTGAAAGGGGAGATTGGGGATTGTTGCACAAACCAAAGGGTAAAGAGGTGTGGCGGGGGAGGTTCGCGGATAAAAGTGAAGTGTGGGGGGGTAGGTTTAGGGATTGTCACGTATGAAAGGGTGAAGAGGTCAGGGAGCAGTGGGTGGTTGTCGCGTACAAATGTGAATAGCGGGTGGGTGGGGTTGCCGTGGACGAAAGTGAAGAGGGGAAGGGGGGTTGTAGCGGTGTTGCAGATGAAAACGAAGAGGGTTGGGGTGACATGGAAGAAGGTGAAGAGTGTGGGTGGGCGGTGGTGCGTGTGTGCAGGTGTGAGGAGGGGAATCGGTAAAATAAGGTACCGAATCAGATTTCAGGATCTGGATTAGGTGCCAGATCCGAACCTGGCATGTTCCGTCACAAACTAAGCCCTGGCGCCATGTGAAATGACTTCCCACATAACAATATTTCTCTGGCCCAGATCTGGCCCACACAATCAGCTTTTGCTTGGCCCACATGCCGCTGTGCATTACGATACATGATAGGACCAAGTCTGGCTTCCTTACAAGAACCAAACATGGACCAAGTCTCAGCTAAGTTAATAACCCATAACTGGGCCTGAACTGGGCCAGATATATTGGAGTGTCACGACTGCGAAGAATTTGATAAACCCATGAAGCATTTCGCCGTGCTTTTTCTCGAAGTGACCTGATCGGTAGAATTTTTTCTTTACTCAATTATAATTTTAATGTATTTTGAATGTGGGTCAAGACAGGTCAAACTTACGTGGCCCCACATATACATTTTTAACATCTGGGCCAAATACTACATTTGATATCTGGCCCAAGTCTTGTGTGCTGCCTTAAAGACGGTGCTGCCTCTGCTGGCCCACATGCTGTATGCCAGTGCCGGACGAATGCCTGCTGTGCCAGCTTTCGGCCAAATCTAGGCCAGAATTCTTTGCTACCTGGGTTGCCTTATAGGGAGTTTGATCTTAAAAAGACCTGAAAGTTTTAATATTATTTTGATTTTAAAAAAAAATTATGTACTTTTATATGTATTTATGTATGTATTACATCATTTTTGCATCAAATGAAAAAAAGCTAATTACTATCTTTGTGAGATGTTTCTAATGCAGTGTCTATGAGCGGGACAGTAAATTTGACATTGTTTCCTCTTCCGGCTGTCACATAATTGTTTTTCCTTTTTCTGAATGTCTTGACAACACCATTGTGGCACTTTTATTTTATTATTTGCGCAAATAGGATTGTAAAAAAAATGTTGTTGTACTCTCCCATTTACTACGCTCTAAATTTACACAACTATGACGACTTACACTACTGAGAAACAAAGAAGTATGAAAAAGATCCATTGAGGCATGCTGTGAGCAAATTAGTGCTACATTTTGTTTCATTTTGCAGTGAGGTGTCATATCAGAATGTGAAATAATGTGTCTCAGATGGAAGATGTCTAACTTTTCTTGCTTGTCCGTATGTTTGGCGCATTTTGCTGTTATTCAGTCTGACATTATGGCTGAGATCTTACAGTGTGACCGAGGGATCATGTTCATGCAATCTGACATGCTACAATCACATAGTGTGATACAAGCTTAAGAAATAGGTAACACATTATTTTGACGGTCCATTTGATTATGTGTAGACTGTCTACTTAATATCTGCTGATACAGACATTCAACAGACATTTAACTGACTATAAGAAACTTTGCAAGTAAATGTCAACTTTAACCCTAACCCCAACCCTAATCCCAACCTAGCAGGCTACTTATATTCTAATGAGAATTAGTTGGCATGTAGATGCAATGTAACTTAATTCAACAAACAGACCATCAAAATAAAGTGTGACCAAGAAATAATATTATTATTTACCATAGCTTGGGTCAAAACTCCATCCTTCCTTATGGTCTCCTATAATTTCAAAACTGAACGGCCCACTGTATGGATCTCCATCAAGGTCCTGCGCTGAGACCTCTGCACTTGACGCTTGGTCAGACTGACAGACAGACACTCTGTTTTCCTTTAGCAAGGGGACGTTATCATTCTTGTCTTCCACATAGAGCTGAATCGTGGCAGTGCTTGTCATTGGAGGATGGTCATCTGGTGTGGAAAATCAAAATTTCAACAGAGAAAAGAAGTTGTAATGCAGACTATACAGACTGGTTAAGGCATAAAATGCTGGGATAGTGTTGGAAAAAGGACTATTATTATATTATGTTTGTCTCTTTATCTTTTTATTAAACAATTGTATTTGCATTGCTTAAGGTGATATTAACCAAACTTCTTCTCTTGATTTTCATATGTCTTGCGTTGAGAATGTGCGTTGGTCGGACCACACCAACTTCACGTCTGGCGTTCGTGCATTTCCTGTGTGTGTTTGTTTTATTTCCATTGGAGACTCCTAGAGGCAATTGTGTTAAACTGCACACTACAAACTATCTTTGAGCCGTGCAATGGCAGCTGTATGGGACGGGATCATGCGCATGTCTAGCAGGTATATAAGATTTCCATACCATGCAGTTGACCAGCCAAACATTAAAGCGCAACTTGCAGCGATCGCTTGTTTTACCAATGTAGTCGGAGCGATCTACTGCACGCATATTGCTATAAAGGTGCCATCTGAAGACGAATTTGCATAGGCTACGTCAGGGGTTTTCAAAGTGTGAGGCGCGCCTCCCCTGGGGGGCGCCAGAGCATGTCAGGGGAGGCGCTGGAAAAATATAGAATAAAAATATAATTATTAAGTTTAATTACTATATGTATTTTTTACTATATTTAAACGTTTTAATTAAACAAAGCTAAAAAAAAATAATACGTCAAAAATAAGAAAACCTTTTTTACCCAGAAGGCCATAGCTGTGAATTCGCTTCTGTTTGGCAAGTCTGTCGCGCGCGCGTTCTGATCAGCTGTGTTGTCGCGCGCACGCTCAAGAGCGGTGTTGTTGCGCGCCTACTGAAGGGTGGGACCAAGGGTGTGCCGCGTCGCGGGGGCACTTTTGATCATTTTGGAAGGGCACTTTCTATCCAGGACTAAAAAGGGTATGTGCACTGCACAGGTTGAGCCCTATGTGTGCACGTGCCTGCAATGGATCGGTTTCTGAGACCCCCCGATTCAAAGCCTTCAAGTTCAGGGCTTAAACCCAAAAGACGACGATATGACGATCAGTATTTGAGTTTAGGATTTACGTGGACAGGACCAGCTGATGAACCACGACCTTTAAGTGTGGTTTGTCAAGATATTTTGGCTAATGACAGCATGAGACCCGCTAAACTTCGACTGTTTTGACTGGGATGGACAGTTCTTGGATATGTTCTATTCATATTAACCATCATCCTAGTTTTAAAAACGTTATATTAAAATACTTGTTATTACTCTGTAAATAATTGCACTTTCATGCAAATGATGATAAAAGTGAGTTAACAGTCTGACATCTGTCTGTGTCTTTATATATACTGTATATATGTGTATATATATATATATATATATATATATATATATATATATATATATATATATATATATATATATATATATATATATATATATATATATGTATGTGTGTGTGTGTATGTATGTATGTGTGTGTGTGTGTGTATGTATGTGTGTGTGTGTGTGTGCGTGTTTGGGAGGAGGGGGGCGCCAATGGATAAGTTGTGTCAAAAGGGAGGCCCACTGTCTTAGACTTTGAAAACCCCTGGGCTACGTGAATCGGAAACATTTCCATTTAATAAATGTGCAAATAAAATGTGATGCTCAAGTGCACTTAACATAATACACACAGTTATAAATGATTCATACTTGTCTTCCTCGTGATGAAGAGTAGGCAAAATCTGATATGTAGTAGGGGAAAATAGAAAAATTTGTTCATTAGGTGCTTGATTCAAACCGTGTTCATAAATGATAGTGTCAAAACATGTTGCCGTGCTTTACGAGCTACGCCACTCACACCACTGATATTTGCTCTCTTTAGTTTTGTTGTCCCTGTCGATCAAACGGGTGGAAATAACTCAACTAGCTCATTCCAACGAGGTGTTCAACGAGACCCCACTGCGTTAATCGCATCAGCTAAACTCTCCCAATCTATTTCTTTTCTTTTGTTATTAATTCCAGAGGACAAACTTGCTAATAACATTGTTTTTCTCTGGTCTACCTCCGATAGGATCACTTCCAATTCACATTCTGCTCAAAGTTTCTCTTTTTGCTTGCTTTTGCCATTGCTTTTTAATTTGGTTTTGCCAAAGTAGAGTGATTACCATATTTATTAGGGGGAGGAGGCGGGGAGGGGTTTTGCGCTCGTGCACGTGCGCTCAGTTTCACGTTAATTCGGATGTACAAAGAGAATATGCGTGGGATTCCGCGTACGCAGTGTTTCATACATCTGTATTTTTTACTGCGTACGCACACTTACAGCTTTGTGCGTACGCAATGCTTTAGTTTGATTTCAACGCAACTCTTCGTACATGAAGCCCCTGATTGTCTAAAAGTAACTTGAGCTCTGCAGCTAAACTTGCTGTGAGCAGAGATGGGTTGAAAATGAATGAACAGAATATTTGCAGTTGAGAAGTGTCACTGACTCGGTCCCAGTCATTCCCCTCGCTGGCCAGCAGAGGTCACCATCCCTGGACTTTTAAGCATTACATCATCCATCTACACTGATCGTGCACACCTGAACTGAATCCCGTTAACGACCCACAGTCCCTATATAAGCCACACCCAAACTCCAGTGCATTGCGAAGTCTTGTTTAGCCCCGGCCAGCATTACTGAGCGTTCTTTCCTGCCTGATCTTCTGTGTATTACCCCGGACTGTTTCTGACTCTGATTTGCCTTCTGCTGCCCACGACCCCAGCCTGATACACGGACTCTGAACCACGCTGCCTGCCCTCGACCCAAGCCCGTTTAACGGATTCTGAACCACGCCGCCTGCCTCTGATCTATGCCTGGTAAATCACTCTGTGTCTGTCAGCCACCAGCCCCTAGACCATTATTGAATACTGTTGATGTGTGTTCGCACTTAGTGCGTATTGGATGTTTGTGTTTGACTGTGACTAATAAATACTGCATAATGGATCCCTCCGTGTCAGTCTCCTCGTTATAAGAAGACTTATGCTTTAAACGTTGAGCAGAGAATTCGTAGAAAAAGAGGATGTATGTATGGGTGCGGCCAACGGAGGACTGGAGAACGATTGACAAGTGACGAATTCCACTAAACTCCATCTGTTAATATCAGCTGCGTATAAAATCTGGAGTCAGGAAATGAAAAGTTTTGCGCACCTCCTTAAAGTAATTCATGTATTGCATTGGGGATTACCAGAATTCTGTGAATGGAATTATTCATTTGTATCCAGTAATTTACTAAAACCTTTGACATTGAAGAAAACCCTCGCTTGACCTTTTTTATTGAACATGCATGGAATTGATTAAATATTCCAACAATTACTCCAGCATTCCTAAAATGCAGTACAAGCACACTGAGAAATAGATGGATATTTTTATTACCTTTTTCTGTCACTAGGACAAAAATTGTGTAAGTCCCGTTGGTCACATAACTGGATTCTCTGTCCACTGTCTCTTTTACAAAGATTTCTCCAGTTGTTTTGTCCACTCTGAACCAGCCAGCAGGGTCGTGTTCAATGGAATACCTATAATAGAGGAAACATTCTATTAAGAAATACACTGAATCCCCCAACCAAAATGTATTTAGACACTTCTGGGCAGTTTAACCGCCAACTTATCCGGCATATGTTTTACACAGCGAATGCCCTTCCAGTTGCAACCCAGGTAGTGTATGGATCTAGACATTTTAACTGTCATTTTAGTGTCCGGTTACGCAAAATGATTCGTTCGATCAATCAAATACATAAGAAACCTACTCTAGTTTATGGGGACGTCCAGTGTCAGGATCTATTGCTTTTACTCGGTCCACAAAGGCTCCAATAGGACCATTTTCTTCCAAAATGACTTTCCGTTGAGGATCTGTAAAATATGGAGGGTCGTTTGCATCCTCCACTGTGATGGTAATATTCTTAGAGGATGGTTTTGATGGATTTGAGATGACAGTCCAGAGGCCACTTGGAGATCTCTCCTTTACCACACAAGAGAAGTACGGCTCTTCGTTCTCTACGGAGATGCTGAGTTTATGTTCTGTTTGTTTTTCAAAGTCCAGAGGCTGCATGGTGAGAAAAGAAATAAGTAAACAAATAATAAAACAAACAAACACATGTATCTTGATGACAAGGTTTATCAAGATTACAATATAATAAATGTTTTCATGCAAAAATAACTACAATAAAATAATCAATATAAAAATAATCAGTTCCAGTGCATTTGTTTCTCAAATATATAAAAATAGTATTATTTTAAAGTGAATTTGTTACACAAAAATAACTATTATAAATGTGATGTTATTCATACTATTCATAATTCAATTTATTTCTTGTTTATTGGTTGGTTTGTTCATTTGTTGGTTGGTTGGTTGGTTGAATCATTAGTTCATTGGTTGGTTCATTCCTTGATTGTCTGGTTAGATGGTTAGTTGGTTGATTTGATGGATGGTTGTGTAGATCATAGGTTCATTGGTTGGTTCATACGTGGGTTGGTTAGTTGGTTGGTTAGTTTGTCACTTGGTTCATTCATTGATGGTTGGTTGGTTGGTTGGTTGGTTGGATCATTAGTCCATCTGTTGGTTTGTTGGTTGGTTGGTTGGAACATTGGTTGGTTCATTCATTGGTTGTTTGGTTGGTTTGTTGGTTGGTTAGTTCATTAATTGGCTGGTTGGTTAGTTGATTGGTTTGTTGGTTGGTTCATTCATTAATTGGCTGGTTGGTTGGATTATTGGTTGGTTCATTAGTGAGTTGGTTGGTTCATTTATTAGTTGGTTGGTTGGTTGGTTGGTAGGTTGGTTGGTTGGTTGGTTGTATCATTGGTTCATTGGTTGGTTCATTAATGGGTTGGTTGATTGATTTGTTGGTTGGTTGGTTGGTTGGTTGGTTGGTTGGTTAGTTCGTTGATTGGCTGGTTGGTTTGTTGTTTGGTTCATTCGTTGGTTGGCTGGAACATTAGTTCATTGGTTTGATGGTTGGATCATTCATTGGTTATCATTGGTTCATTGGTTAGTTTATTCGTTGGCTGGTTGCATCATTCATTAATAGGCTTGTTGGTTGGTTGGTTAATTGGTTGATTGGATTGTTGGATGGTTGGTTGGATCCTAGGTTTATTGTTTGGTTGGTTTGTTGAATTGTTGGTTTGTTGAATTGTTGGTTGGTTTGTTGCTTGGTTTGTTGGTTGGTTGGATAATTGGTTGGTTCATTGGTTGGTTGGTTTGTTGGTTCATTCAAATCTTTGGTTGCTTTGTTCATTGATTGGTTTGTTTGCTGGTTAGTTTGTTTGTTCGTTCGTTCATTCATTCATTCATTAATTCATTTGTTCATTCATTCATTGTTTGAAACTTTTGATGAATAATTGAATAACCAGTGATAGATATGTAAAAAGATTAATCCTGGTAAATATTAGGCATATTTGTTAACTGATATTGGATTTTTTAAAGATATCAGCAAATCAGCAATAACAATAAAAAGGCTGGTATCAATGGTTTATTAATTACATAAAGCAACTGAGATGCACATCTTTCGAACAATCGATCAAAAAAACAAAGTATAATCTAAAAAAATGTGTGTCAGGAAAGCAGTTTTTTTGTGCACCATGCTCTTACTCTGACACAAAACCATTGGTTAGTTTGGGCCAAATTGTCTTGGTCCATAAAAGAAACCAACTAAAATTTCTAAAAGTCAGTATTTTTCTGAAGCAGCAAAATGTATTGTTTATACATAGCAACAGAATTGACTTTATTCCTTAAAATTGAAAAATAAATATGTTAATTTATTACAGTATATGTCCAGTAAAAGTTGCTATTGCTAAAACAAATACTGACGATCAGGAAAAAGTCACCTTTAAAGATTGCCATATTGTAATTTCTTACGGTTATTCTTTATTATTGTTGAAAGCTGACAGTTAAATGGATTCGATCAATGTTCAGTAAAACTAATTCAACAGAGAAAAATCTTGCTAGACCAATATCTTTATCAATATGGTCTAAAAAATGTTATTCAACAAAAATATCTTATGACACAGACATTTAATCACACATTTAACTGCATGTGTTTCTTCTTATATTTTCTACCCTACTAATTACACCCAAATTATTTGATTTACCTGATTTTATATTGTTTTATTTTTTCTGATGATGAGATTGTGAATATGAGAACATTACGATGTGTAAACATACCTTAACCACTGTAATTATGCCATCGTTGTTGTCTGGATCAGTACGAATGGAAAAGTGACCACCTTTATCCCCTTCTATGGAGTATCTGACCCTCCATGCAGCAGTGGGACGAGTATCAGCATCGGTCGTGTGTATTTTAAGGGGGGAGGTACCATTTGTCCCTTCCACCACATTACCTGAACCCTAAAAAAGTGAGGAGGAAATAGAAACGTCACCATATTTTGTCCTAAGCGTCCTCCTTGATATTCATTCATTTTCTTTTCAGCCCTTTATTAATCTGGGGTCGCCACACTGAAATGAACCACCTACTTATCAAGCGAATGCCCTTTCAGCTGCAACCCATCACTGGTAAACATCCATACACACTTATTCACACACTTATAATATAAACAAATATTTCAATTAAATCTCCAATATTTTGAACAGACAAACACTAACCGTTTGCCCTGTGATGACCGGTATGTGGTTGTTTCCATCCTGAAGGTTGATTACTACAGTTGCTGTGCTGGACAACTTTACAACCTCTCCACGGTCCTTTGCCTCAACCATTATAGTGTATTTACTAGCCACCTGAGAAAGAAAACCAGTTAGACTCCCACATACATGCTGTAATAAAATGTGCACGTTAAACTTAAATCATTCGAAAAAATGTCAAGATATTGTAAAGGCAGGTTTTTGCTTGTTACTTTAACACTGAGACTGGACTGTGATGTCAGTTGTTCTCTAGGGCACTAACATGATGGCTCATGTCTAGTCCTGCAATATTCCAATGCTATAGCATGACACACAGATTTTACTGGCATGCATAGGCTAAGGCGTAGTATTCTATGGTCTGAATGAACTGGGTTTGTAAGAACAACCTATATACAGTTGAAGTCAAAATTATTAATCCATTTTTCTCTTTCAAATACAGTGCATCTGGAAAGTATTCACAGCGCCTCACTTTTTCCACATTATTTTTGTTAAAGCCTTATTCCAAAATGGATTCAATTAATTTATTTCCTCAACATTCTACAAATAAAACCCTATAATGACAAGGTGCAAAAGAATTTTTTGAAATTGTTACAAATTTATTAAAATAAAAACCTGAAAAAAATCACATGTACAGAAGTATTTACAGACTTTGCAGTGAGGCTCTAAATTGAGCTCAGGTACATTTTGTTTCCACTGACCATTCTTCAGATGTTTCAGCAGCTTAATTGGAGTTCACCTGTGGTAAATCCAGTTGATTAGACATGATTTGAAAAGGTATACACCTGTCTATATAAGGTCCAAGGGTTGACAGTGCATGTCAAAGCACAAACCAAGCATGAAGGCAAAGGAATCGTCTGTAGACCTCTGAGAAAGGATTGTCTCAAGGCACAAGGCTGGGGAAGGTTACAGAACAATTTCTGCTGCTCTGAAAGTTTCAGCGAGCACAGTGGCCTCCATCATTCATAAGTGGAAGATGTTTGGAACCACCAGGACTCCTCCTAGAGCTGGCCGGCCATCTAAGCTGAGTGATCGGAGAGAAGGGCCTTAGTCAGAGAGGTGATCAATAACCCGATGGTCACTCTGTCTGAGCTCCAGCATTCTTCTGTAAGGACAACCTTACAGAAGGACAACCATCTGTGCAGCAATCCACCAATCAGGCCTGTATGGTAGAGTGGCCAGACGGAAGACACTCCCCGCCTGGAATTTTCCAAAAGGCATCTGAAGGACTCTCAGACCATAAGAAATACAATTCTTTGGTCTGATGAGACTAAATTGAACTCTTTGGAGTAAATGCCAGGCATTAATTTTTGGAGAACACCAGGCTCCGCTCATCACCAAGGTAATACCATCCCTTCAGTGAAGCATGGTGGTGGCAGCATCATGCTGTGGGGGTGTTTTTCAGCAGCAGGAACTGGAAGACTAGTCAGCATAGAGGGAAAGATGAATGCAGCAATGTACAGAGACATCCTGAATGAAAACCTGCTTCAGAGTGCTCTTGACCTCAGACTGGGGTGACGATTCATCTTCCAGCAGGACAATGACCCAAAGCACACCGCCAAAATATCAATGGAGTGGCTTCACAACAACTCTGTTAATGTCCTTGAGTGGCCCAGCCAAAGCCCAGACCTAAATCCTATTGAACATCTCTGGAGAGATCTGAAAATAGCTTTATGTCATCGCTTCCCATCTAACCTGACAGAGCTTGAGAGGTACTGCAAAGAGGAATGGGCAAAAATTCCCAAAGACAGGTGTGCCAAGCTTGTGGCATCATATTCAAAAAGACTTGAGGCTGTAACTGCTGCCAAAGGTGCATCAACAAAGTATTGAGCAATACTTCTGTACATGTGATTTTTCAGATTTTTTTATTTTGAATAAATTTGCAACAATTTCAAAAACTCTTTTTTTCACATTGTCATTATGGGGTATTGTGTGTAGAATTTTGACGAAATATATGAATTTAATCCATTTTGGGAAGAAGGCTGTAACATAAAAAAGTGAATGAAAAAGTGAAGCTCTATGAATACTTTCTAAATGCACTGTACTTTGCTGCAAAATTTTTATGTAATGTCATCCTGGCAAAGATAAAAGAAAACAGTTACTAAAATGTATTCATTAAATCTGTTATGTTTATAAATGTGTTAAAAAAATTCTTCTTTCCATTAAACAGAAATTGGGGGAAAAATATACAGGGGGCTAGTAATTCTGACTTCAACTGTATATCTCATCACTTTTGAATAATGTCTGCATAAGTACCTCATAATCAAAGCATCCTTTAAAGGATATTGCTCCATTGTCTTGGATGTAGAATTCCACATTTTTAGTAGTCGGCACCACAGAAATGATTTTATAATCAATGGTGGAATTCGGAGTTCCTGCTGCATCCTTATCAATGGCTAAAACACCAACAATAAAGTCACCTGGAACCAGATAATATAGAGAAAATTACTCTTCTGTTATTTACACATCTGCCTGCATACTCAGTTATTTAATTCAAAGAAAGCCTAAACAATCTAAACACTGCACCCAGCCATTCCTTTCTGTAATTACAATAAATAGGAACTGATGACACTTCAAAAGTGACATTTTTTCAGTTTGATTTCTGTAGCTAAAACGGCAAAGCATCAAGGGTTTGATTATTTGAAAACATTTTCTTTGATTACAGCTTAAGTTTTAAAATATAAAACATCTACCAAAAACACAATTTAGGAATAAACATGTACAATATAATATTATGAAGGCCTGAGCATTATTGGAAAAAATCTGACATTGCGATCTTTTATTTTGCTGCGATTTTTCGTTCATTCTTTTTTTTTTCGGCTTGGTCCCTTTATTAATCAGGGGTCGCCGCAGCGGAATGAACCACCAACTTATCCAGCACATGTTTTACACTCTAATGTTTTTTCCAGTACATGCTCGGGCATTCTGTCTGAATGGGGAGACATCAAATTCTCCAAAACTACTTGCCAAGCTTACGATTACATTTCATATAACGAATAACCAATAAAATTAAACAGCTGTCGCTTTAATTTCTAAATGTTCATATAACACAAAACCTGCAGAACGTCATGTCTAGTGCGAGCCCCTCCCCAGAAGAATTGTCATTCCATAGTGATTATTCGTCATATACCGATCACTGATTGGCTCCTGCATTGTATATTCTATAGGCTGCGACTGAAATCGCCTACTACTCAGTAGGTACTGCATTTGAATTTAAACGTACTACTCGGCCATTAGAAAAGTACATTCTATATAGTATGAATGTGAAAAGTCTGAATGGAAATCGGACGTACTACATCCGCCATTTTTTCACAATCACGTAACCTACCTGCGTCAGTTGCGTCGCTTCACTCCCATTCATGTATTCTCTCGCACTTCAGAATCTCGCCGGATGTAGTAAGTCATCCGGGTACTTCTCGCATACTGATTTTTGAATTCTATGAATTCGGCCATACTACTCGGCTCGCATACTGATTTTAGCATGTTAAATAGTATTGAAGTATACAACTTCATTCATTCTTTTTTTTTTGGCTTAGTCCCTTTAATAATCCGGGTTGCCACAGCGGAATGAACCGCCAACTTATCCAGCACGTTTTGATGCAGCAGATGCCCTTCCAGCCGCAACCCATCTTTGGGAAACATCCACACACACTCATTCACACACACTCACACACACACACACAACGGACAATTTAGCCTAACCAATTCACCTGGACCGCATGTCTTTGGACTGTGGGGGAAACCGGAGCACCCGGAGGAAACCCTCGCAAACCCAGGGAGAAATGCCAACGGACCCAGCCGAGGCTCGAACCAGCGACTCAGCGACCTTCTTGCTGTGAGGCGACAGCACTACCTATGGCGCCACTGCATTGTTTGACACTCCTAAAATTCTAAATAACTTGTTCATTCATTTTCCTTCAGCTTAGTCTCTGATTATCAGAGGTCGCCACAGCAGAATGAACCACAAATTATTCCGACATATGTTTTACATGGCGAAGCCCTTCCAGCCGCAATCCAGTGCTGGGAAACACCCATACACTCTCATTCACACACACTCGTACACTGTGGCAATTTCATTCATTCATTCATTTTCGGATTAGTCCCTTTAATAATCAGGGGTCGCCACAGCGGAATGAACTGCCAACTTATCCAGCATATGTTTGTACGCAGTGGATGCCCTTGTAGCCGCAACCCATCTCTGGGAAACACCCATACACACTCATTCACACTCATACACTACAGACAATTTAGCCTGCCTAATTCACCTTTACCGCATGTCTTTGGACTTTGGGGGAAACCGGAGCACCCGGTGGAAGCCCACGCGAACGCAGGGAGAACATGCAAACTCCACACAGAAATGCCAACTGACCCAGCCGAGGCTCGAAACAGCGACCTTCTTGCTGTGAGGCGACATCCCTACCTACAGCGCCACTGCATCGACCTACGGCCAATTTAGCTCATTCAATTTACCTATACCACATGTCTTTGGGCTGTGGGGGAATTGGAGCACCCGGAGGAAACTCATGCCAACACTGGGAGAACTGGCTGGGCAGCATGGTGACTCAGTGACTAGCACAATCGCCTTACCGCAAGAAGGTCGCAGGTTTGAGCATTACTGTGTGGAGTTTGCATGTTCTCCCCGTGATGGTGTGGGTTTTCTCCAGGTGCTCCAGTTACCCGCACAAGTCCAAAGACATAGGTGAATTGGATTATGTAAATTGTCCGTAGTGTATGTGTGTGAATGAGAGTGTATGGGTGTTTCCCAGTGATGGGTTGCAGCTGGAAAGGCATCCGCTGCGTAAAACATACACTGTGGTGACCCCAGTTTAATAAAGGGACTAAGCAGAAAACAAACCAAATTAATTTATGAAATCTAAAATACATCTGATTATGTCTGATAAAAATACAAGCAGTTATACTGACCTTGCTTTGCTGCTTCATTTACAGTAACATCATAGAGTTTTCTCTGGAAGACCGGCGGGTTGTCGTTGATGTCCAATATGTTGACCTCCATGCCTAGTTGTGTGTCAATAGCCGAGTTGGACTTGTTTCTCGCTTGAAAGGTCAGCTTTGAAGGGATAAAGACGTAAGCTTTAAACCTATACCAACAGATAAACATCTGAGGAAACATCAGATTCCTCTTACCATCAGAATGCTGAACTGCTCATAGTCAACTTTACGGTGGACCATGATGACTCCTGTCTTGGAATCAATAGACAGGACACCCTTTGGGTTTTCATCCACGCCTTTGCCCTTTAGCCCGAACTCCACTAAATATTTACGATCCAGCTTGATCTAGATTATTTGAGGGATGTTATTTTTAAAAATACATTATGGCAGGTTGTTTTGTGATAAACGAATATAAATTTTACTTGCCTGCCCCAGTTCATAAGGAAAAGGTCCTGGGTGTTCTTCCACAATGTCAAATGAGTCTATAATCCAGGATCTTCTATTGCGTCTGAGAGGCTCCGTGCTGCACAGACTTATAAGTCCCTTTCAAAAAAAAAAACAATTGGTTATGGCTTTAAACATTACATTTATTGACATGATGGAAAATATAAAAATAGTAGACCATTCATTCATTCATTCATTCATTCATTTTCTTGTCAGCTTAGTCCCTTTATTAATCTGAGGTTGTCACAGCAGAATGAACCGCCAACTTATCCAGCATATGTTTTGCACAGCGGATGAACTATTCATTCATTTTCTTTTCGGCTTAGTCCCTTTATTAATCCGGGGCCGCCACAGTGGAATGAACCGCCAATTTATCCAGCACGTTTTTACACAGATGCCCTTCCAGCCGCAACCCATCTCTGGGAAACATCCACACACACACACACTCGTACACTATGGACAATTTAGCCTACTCCATTTCCCTGTACCGCATGTCCTTGGACTGTGGGGAAACCGGAGCACCCGGAGGAAACCCACGCGAGGGCAAGGAGAATATGCAAACTCCACACAGAAACGCCAACTGACCCAAGGTTCAAACCAGCAACCTACTTGCTGTGAGGAGACGGCACTAACTACTGCTCCACTTCATCTCCCCAATATTACACTATTACAAAATAAATGATATTATTCTAGTTTTATTTAATCCTTAATACTTGGGTTGTTTTCAAAGGGCACCTATGATGGAAATCAACTTTTGTAAGCTGTTTGGACAGAACTGTGTGCAGGTATAGTGTGTCCGCTGTAATATTGGAGTGATAGAAACACAATAAGTCTCTTTATGAAAGTTTCCTGACGTTAAAATAGACTGCAAATCTCTCCCATTTTGAGACGCACCACAACCCAGCCTCCGTAATTGAATCTTTCATCTGCACATCAATAACTGTCTGGTTTAGCTCAGCTACCAAATCCGGCCTCCAAAGTCTTTGGCTGCATCCGAAACCGACTACCACTCAGTAGGTACTGCATTTGAATTTAAACGTACTACTTGGTCGTAAGAAAAGTACGTTCTGTACAGTATGAACGTGAAAAGTATGAATGGAATTCGGACGTACTACATCCGCCATTTTGTCATGGTCACGTGACCTACCTGCGTCAGTTGCGTCGATTCACTCCCATTCATGAATTCTCTCGCGGGGCATCATGATATAGCACAGCGTGCATGGGATGCGCACTCCAGAATTTCGCCGGAAGTAGTAAGTCATCTGGGTACTTCTTGCATACTGATTTTCGAATTCTACGAATTCAGGCATAGTACTCGGCTCGCATACTGATTTTAGCGTACTATATAGTATGGAAGTATGCGGTTTCGGACGCAGCCTATGTCGAATAGTTTGGACTACTGAGGGAATCACTGGTACAACCCTCCATCCTCCCCAACTGTACTTATATTATAATTATTTTTTTTTTGGGGGGGGGGGGGGGGGGGGGGTTCACCTTTATTAGATAGAACAGTAGAGAGAATTGACAGGAAAGCATGGGGAGCAGAGAGAGGGGAAGGATCGGCATAGGACCGCGAGGCGGAATCGAACTCGGGTCGCCGTGAGCACCTGAGTACATGTGCCGACGCACTAACCACTACACCACTGGCGCCGACCCCAAGAACTGTACTTATCCAGAGCGAGCAAAAGGGCTGGCAGAATCACTCTGGACCCCTCACACCCAGCACACTGCCTCTTTGAACTTTTACCTTCTGGTTGACGATACAGAGCACTGCGCACCAGAACAGCCCGACACAGAAGTTTCTTCCCTCAGGCAATGCATCTCATGAACACTTGATAATAATAATTGTGGAACCAACATCACTACTTGCCATACACTTTTTTACACATACATATATTTAACAACACATAACAAAATTTGCACATAACAGCTGCACATATAACATTGCATATAGTAATATAGCTAAATTATATATAACACTGTTAAATATATTATATATATATATATATATATATATATATATATATATATATATATATATATATATATATATATATATATATATATATAATGTCATATATAAATATAACATGGTCCCACTTTATATTAAGTGGCCTTAACTAATATGTACTTACATGGGAACTAATAGTTTGTTACACTGTACTTATTGTGTAAATACATGTATTTACTGTGTACTTATGCTTGATTCAATACATGTATGTAATTACATCTGTAATTATTACCTTTTGTAATTACATTTGTAAATACACTGTTGACCAGTTACACCTTAACCTTACACCTTAACCTACCCTTAAACCTACCCATGCCACCAAACCTGTCCATAACCCAACCTCTATTCCAACCCAAAAGCACCACAAGTGTTCTCAAATACATTATAAACACAGTAGGTACATTGTATTTATTTTTTTGATGTAAGTACATAGAAGTTAAAGACACTTAATATAAAGTGGGACCTATAACATTTATGTATATTTATGTATATAAATATATATAAATGTCTATTTTCAGAATGAGCCTATGGTCATGGATCATTTTTCTAAGACAACAGGTGTGTTAAAAGTCATTTTTGTGAAACAAAGTGTAACGTTGTTTATTGAGATTACGTCGTCAATCACTTAGACCCAAACACAAAATGGAATTGTCCAAATAAAGAAGTACCTTTTGGGTCAATTTTCTCAGAAATGCAGGGTCAAAGGGACACCTTTTTGAGTCTGTTTTGAGATAGATTGGGCTTTATATGTTTACCTAAGAGAATTCAAAGTTGTGAAACAGGTTTGGGAAAGCCTTGGCTGTCCTTTGTTGCTGGTTTATATCTCAACTGACCCCAAAAATAAATCTCCCAGATAGGGATTCATGTTACAGGAATACAGGTTTACATAAAATACTTAACAGCTGGATTTCACCAGCACAGATTGTAGATCCAGACACCAAACATCAAAGTATAAGAAGAAAAAAGTTTTAATGTGGTAAAGAAATGTACTAGAGCTGTCATTAGGGCGGTAACTTTTAAAAAAAAGTGTCAATATTGTTATCTCAAAGGTACCAACACGCTTCGTTGAGGTATACCTATGTAAATCCAAATGTGTATCTTTGGAGAAGTAATCGCCCCTGCTCTCGTATTATTATAAGAGCGTAAGACAAATAATTTTGACTCCATCTATTTAGTTTTTAAATTAGATATAAAAATGACTGAATCAACTAACAGAAGTCATTTTAATGTGTAAATAACATAATTTCTTTAATAATAAAAAAAATAATACCAGACAATAATAAATCAACATTTTAAGATCTTACTAATCTTGAATTAAAACAGATAACTGTGACACGATCTGCACTCACCACAAGCACCAGATAGGTCAACATGGTTGTGGTCCAAATCCTCAGTTCCCCAATCAGTGTAGAATCCAAAGTAAAGTTAAATGGCAATGGAGTCCCATGAACTGTATTGCTCAGACATGCTTCTGCTTTAGACTGAGAGCACAGTCATACCTGTGTAGTGCAGAAGTACAGGTAACTACACCCTGGGGCTGTGTTAGATAGTATGCTTTGTACACACGTAGGCATTATAGGGACAGACATTACACATTCTATAGGGGCAGAGAGAATGTGTAGTTTAATAAGTTGTCGCAGAACAAACTTCAAAACAGTTTTACAGCGGATTTTCTAGTAAACGGAAACATTTTTAAGCATAAAGCCCTTGAAACATTCTCCTAACAGCAAAGCAAAACTAATTTTGTGAAAACTATTAAGTTTTTTTTTTGTTTTTTACTAAAACGTTTTGAGATATTTGTAGAGTATTTATCCTTTGATTGCCATCCAAATCCATAACTATAATAAAGTAACTGCAAAAAAGAAAACAGGACCAGATTAAGAACCAATTGGGCCCTGGGGAATACACTGTAAAACCCAGCAGTCAACTTTATCAAATGAAATGAGTGCAGTTAACTCAAAATGCACTGAAAGTTAATTCTACTCATTTGAAAAGAGTTTTGTACTCAGTGTTGACGGTAATGGGTTAATTAAATACCTCATTACTTCAGCTTAAATGGAGTAAGTTCACTCATTAGTATTCGTTTTTGAACTTTAATGGTTTGTTGCAGTCGGTTTGCTCAAATTGTTTGAGTTACCTTAACTTTTTGGCTTTTACAGTGCAATAATATTAATATTAATTATTCGTATTTGCTAATTAACGTTATCAAATTTTCCAATCGAATAGAATTGTCACAATCACCAGCGACCTCTAACCACCAGAGGTCGCTGGACAACATTCACACTCATGGAACTACAAATCTGCTTGTAAATGAACTACAACTTCATACATGCACTTGGCCCACACACACATGCTTCCTCATTTAGACTGATTACACGCACCACCTCAGGATTGTCAAAGACTGATTACACACACTATTTAAGCAGCACACACACTCACTCCCATTGCCGAGTCTTGTTCATCTGTATAGTGAAATTACAACGTGTTTCCTATAGTCTTGTTTCTCCGTGTTTTGACCTTAGCCTTGTTAGCCTTTTTGTTTTAGTCTGCCGCCTGCCTTACGTCCTCTCGCCTATTATTTAACTACAATTCTGGACTGCCTCTATACATCTGTTTGCACCTGTGTTGACCATTGCTTGCCTGACAACACTGAATAAACCTGCACGTGGATCCTACTTCAGTTGTTAGCGTCACTCCCCGTGTTACAAGAATTGTCTATGACTTGTAGAATATTTTATCAATATATATATATATATATATTTTTTTTTTTTTTTTTTTATGGGATGAAGTCCTACACATGCAAAAAAAAAAAAATGTAACAAATTTGTCGTGGCAATTTTAAATAGAGAGACTGATCAAGAGACAAAGGTCCAATCCTAATTCTACCCCGTAGCCCTATCCTTCTTACCTCTACCACTTATTTCCGCATTCACGTGAAGGAGTAGAGGTGTCACTATTCTCTTTAACTTGAAGGTGTAGAGCTAAGGGAAGGGCTAGACAGCCCTTGAAACTGAGATTTTCCAGGACCACACCCGGAACCAAGGGGTATTTCCCAGAATACACTAGCAATAACGACAGCATGGCTGCACACGGAAGTAAGGAGATCCACAAATTAAAATTTGTTGTCATTGTTACGAATTTTTACAACAAACAAACACATGTTTTAATACATTCATAACGACGTTCATGTTTATCGTCACCAATTAAATAAAAACTGCTAAATTTGGCAGAATCTATAATCCATAATAATAACGCCTGTACAGCACTACCACAAAATACTTTCACATCTGACACTCGATGACACTCGAATCCCCTGTCAGAAAAGTCTAGGGGCTGGAATGACCTTTTTACATCGCCTGCTATAATGGTAATGTTGTTTTCGTGTGTTTCCATAGATGAATATGGCCATGGTGAAAATGCACAGTTCAGTTATGGTCTTATTGCCACAATACATTGTTATGATAACATAATATCGTTGCCTTCTGTGATTTCCTGAGGATAAATACCAAATAATATTCGGTATAATCTCATATGAAGTAAGAGATGGCGATGACATATGATGACGTGTGGAGGTGTTGTAGTGCTATCCCATTTATTAGGGGTAAAAGTTGAAGCCCTTCCTCTTCATACTCTGTTTCACTCAAAATCTTACAAGGTTTACTTCCAAAAAGATTTTATGCTTTGCAAAGAATAGGTCTGACAGTCATACAGAATCATCGCTTGCTGCAGAGTGTGACACCCAGGCTAACCAGACACCAGGTTTTTTTCTTCTTTCCCCTGCTTCAAGGCCCACTTCGTCACAGTTGACACCCAGATCTCTTTAGAGCAGTGGTTCTCAAACTTTTTTTCATCAAGTACCACCTCAGAAAGAAAATGTCTCTCCAAGTACCACCAAAATGAGCAGTATTGAAATACAGTAGTGTAGTAGGCCCAGTAAAGCAGCTACAACTCTGCCGTTAAAAAACGTAGCAGATTACCTCAGAAATATAAGCTATATGTCATATATGGCATATTATATACATTATTTTTGATGAATTTTGAATTGTGTATAGCATGTACATGACATATTTCATTCCTCCGCGTACCACTAGAAGGAAGCCCGCGTACCACTAGTGGTCCACGTACCACAGTTTGAGAACCACTGCTTTAGAGCATTAGATTTCAGAGCCAGGATTTACACTTGAATGCATACAGTTGAATTATTAGCACCCCCCGCCCTCCCTGTTTATTTCTTCCCCCATTTTATGTTTAAGGGGGTGAAGATTTTTTCAACAGATTTCTCATTTCTAGTAACTGATTTATTTTATCTTTGCCATGATGACAGTTAATAATATTTATTATAATAATATTTATCAGAATAATATTTGACTAGATATTTTTCAAGACACTTAAAAGGCTCTATTTTGATGATCCATGCGCAAAGTGCAAAGCGCAGGGCGCAAACGCATTCAGGACGTGTCGGAATCCACTTTTGCTAAATTAAGAACGGAAAAATCCACTTTGCGCCTGTTCTAAAAGGGTTGAGCTTATTCTCTTAATGAGTTATAGGTGTGTTTTGAGAATAAACCAATCAGAGTCTCATCTCCCATTCCCTTTAAGAGCCAGTTGCATCGCGCCACAGTGCATTTGCTATTTACATGACGACTTTGTAAGTGGAAAAACTGAGTGTTTCGCTAGCAAGAAAACAATTAAACAGAGCATCTGCAGCGCAAGAATGAGAGATGATCCTCCTCATTATCTACTCTTACTTTCACTCTCGTGGATAGCAAAATCTTGTACGCACAGACATCAATTAGTCTATAAATAATTAATTTCATTTGTTAAGCGCAAAGATTTGTTTTAAAACTATTTCTAAATTCAGTTCTAATTTCCAGCAAACAAATAAATGAACAATAATATGAAGTGTGGTCAGAAAGCTGAGTTATATCCAAATACACATGCTGTGCCCCATATGGTCTGAAACCTGACAGGTGGGCAAATCTAAGCTTGTTTTTAATAAGACAAATATAAATATGGATATAATAAATAATACTGCTAATAATAATAACATTATACAAAAGCAAATTGTTATGAATGAACTGAAAAAGCCCCTCGAGAGGAAAAAGGCAAGAAAGTTTGGTTTTTATATTTATGTAGGCTAGAAAATAATATTTTTTGTAATATTTTAATTCTTTATATTTATATCCTATATATATCCTTATTATATCCTTTATATACGATCAATATTTTAGTTCTTTTTCATTATAAGATAATTGCGTATTGCTCTACACTCTCAGAAATAAAGGTACACAAGCTGTCACTGGGGTGGTACCTTTGGAATAGGTACACATTAGTTCTTGAAGGATTCATATTGGTACCTCAAAAGTATATTAGAATACCTTTAAATTTAAAGAAGAACACGTTTGTACTTTTTAGATATGAATATGTACGCTTGAGTTATTAATATGGACCTTTTAGGTAGAGATTTGTACCATTTCAAAAGGTACCACTCCAGTGACAGCTCGTGTACCTTTGTTTCTGAGAGTGTACATCTTGTGTGTATTAAGCAGTGTGTAAGTGAGGCGCCCAACTAACGCGCTCTGTGCTGGGCAATAGACCAGTTCTGGTCTATTGAAAAATCTATTTTAGTTTCTCAAAATAGCAACGCACCAGCAATGCTCCTCAGAACGCCTTCCTTTTTAACCAGAACGCCTATGGGCGCACATATGATCGCAAATGCATTTGCTATTTAAACAGCGTGGCGCAAAACGTCAAAACGACTCCTGCATCAAGCTGAAACTAGCAAAACAACAATTGCGTCGCGCCCTGCACCACATTGCGCCGGGTGTATGATAGGGCCTAAAGTGACATTTAAAGGCTTAACTAGGTTAATTAGATTAACTAGGCAGATTAAGGTAATTAGGCAAATCATTGTTTATTGATGGTTTCTTCTGTAGACTATCTAAAAAATATACCTTAAAGGGGCTAATAATTTTGACCGTAATTTTTTTAAATTAAAAACTGCTTTTTGTTCTAGCCAAAATAAAAGAAATTTTTCTTCATGAGGAAAAATATTATCAGACACACTGTAAAAATTTCCTTGATCTGTTAAACATCATTTGGAAAATATATAAAAAAGAAAATAAAATTAAGGAAGGCATATGTTTCTTATTATATGACGCTTATAGTAAGAAAGGGAAGTTTTATGTAAATCAATGTTTTAGTGATAATAATAATAAATGTTACACCACACATTAATCACATAATGAACTTCAAACATAATGCAATATTTCTTAAAGGGCCATGACACCCCCCACTTTCGGTTAAAGTCTACTTCAGAATTTTTTCAAAAGATGCATGATTAATGGGCGTGGAGCTCCTCGAGCATGGGGCAGGAGTGGGCGTGGCCAGCAGGGGAGGACAGTTAGCTCACAAAATGAGACACAAACCGTGAGGAGACGCATGAGTTTATAGTTCACAAAGTTAAAATGCAAAGAAATGAACAGTGATTTAATGCCCTGCTACAT